AATATACCGCCAGCAGTTTTTTTTTTCTCCTGAACCCTTCAAATCATAAAAAACATCATCAACTATATTTTTATTCTTCAGGAGTTTTTTTTTTCACTGCTGGTCGGATTTGTGTTTAATCGCTTCCCTTGACAATGCCTGTAAACTGGCATTTAATAAATCAAATTAAATGAAATTAAAACTTCCCGTACCTGGGTAGTACCCTCACCTGCAGCACGAAAATCGACGACGAAGTCGCCCGCAGGATTGCAAAGGCCAGCCAAGCCTTCGGCCGTCTTCAAAGCGCAGCTTGGGATCTTCATGGTCTCCAGCTCAGCATGAAGCTGGAGATGTACAAGGCCGTCATCCTTCCGACGCAGTTGTACGGAGGAGAGACTTGTGCGGTGTACACGAAGCAGGCACGCCGACTCAATCACATCGACCTCACTTATCTTCGTCGCATCCTGAGGCAGAGCTGGCAGGGTCGAATACCCGACACTGATGCGCTGGAGCTAACGGGAATCCTTAGCATCTACACCATGCTGAGACAACTGCAGCTGCGTTGGATCAGCCATCTCGTGGGGGTGGACGACGAGTACCTACCCAAACGAGTCTTCTATGGAGACGTCGCCGCGGGTTTGCGTCGCCAAGGAGGCCAAATCAGCTAATACAAGGACACTCTGAAGTCCTCCCTGAAACGTCTGCAAATTAATCCGATCAACCTGGAAGACCTCGCCCGCAACCGACAGACCTGGAGGAGGACAATGAAGACAGGCGCTACGATCTACGAAGCCAACCGCACCGCTGCGCCAAAGCCAAACATGAAGCACGCCAGTCACAGATGCGCCCACCTCAAAACGCCAACGCACAACCGCCTCCAACATGTCCGCGTTGTCAACGAACATTCCGGACACGAACTGGACTTGTTGGACTGAGCCATTCAGACCGCATTAACCGCCGTTCCTCCGCCTAAATTCTCGTCCTCCACGTCACCAACTAACTCTGACCGCTCTCAGGAACCGCCACTTCCATCTTCCTACTCCTCCTGCTCCACCTCCTCCTCGCCCAACACCACCACCTCCATCACCACCACCAGCACCGCCTGCTCCTATCCCATGCTCCCCCTTCCCCTCCTTTGACTCCTGCTCCTATTCCTCATCATCATCATCCGCCGCCCTTACGGTGGCCGTTCTGGCGGCTGTCACGCACATCAACAATGAGCACAACTCCGACACAATACCAAACACCACCACTACAACCTCCGACACCAGAGGTGGGTGACGGGACTAAATCTGCCCTCACTGCGACCGCACCTTCACCTCCCACATTGGAGTGGACGGTCACCTGCGAATCTATCGCACAGAGACTGACGAATCAACGCCTGGAGCACCAACCCACACCTACCGCACTCACCTCCATTTTCCACACTGACCTTACACTTTCACGCACCACAGTGGCCTGTTCGGCCACATGCGCATCCACGAGAGCGGAATTGACTGCAGTCTCGACGCATCCACCACATCCAACACATAAACCGCGCCCAGCCCCACCCTCACTCATTAACTCTATGCGCCTACCACCATCTCCGCAACTGACACCGACACCATCGACCTCTCATGCCCACACTGTCCGCGCACACTCGCCTCACGCATTGGCCTGGTTGGTCACGTGAGAATCCATCGCACAGAGACTGGCGAACCAGTGCCTGAAGCACTTATTTACACCCGCCGCAGCCGCCTTCACTGTCCACACTACCGTCGCACATCTACGCACCGCATGGGTCTATTCGGCCACATGCGCGTCCACGAAAACCTGCGGTAGACAACAGACGGCTGCACCACACCATCACAGTCACCCTCATCATCATCTCACCACACACCAACACCACCCGCCGCAAGCACCCAACTGACACCTCCCACGCATGTGGGAAGTGTGCGTCTTGACTCCGTCTCCGTGCGGCTCCCGTTGCACGGGTGACTCGAGCCTGAGATTATCCCGACGCGTCAGGCATCGTGGATAGGAAGGCTGCCGATTGACGCCCCCGGTAGGTCCACGCACTCCGTCCAGCCGTGTTTTTGTGTGGAGTGGAGGACTGGTAGGCTGAGAGACGGGCCGAAGCAACACCTTCCACAGCACCCTCACGCATTTGAGAGATACGTCGTCCAACCCCCGTTGACAGAAATCCTGTGTGTGCGTGTGTCTGGAGAGCCAGTTCATGCATGTGACACGCAGACATGGTCACTCGACCATGTCAGCCACTGCACCCATTCCGCGCTGCAGTCAGCTGACCGGCTTGGATAGGGGCTGTTGTGTAGGACTGGGAAGGGAGAGTGAGGTCGACGACTTAGCGCATATTTCCTCCTCATTATAAACAATCTGACGCGCTTGAAGCTATAGCGGTGCGGTAGAGGTCGTGGCTTGGAAGGTTGCCAACTGACGCGATAACTTGGACCTCGCAGTCGGCCCATTGTTGCGTGTGCTGCATTAGTGGAGTGGCCGGCTGGTGGTCTGAGAGTCAGGCCGCAATGGATCCTTCTTAATTTTGCTTCTGTGGCACTCCCAATGTGTGTGATCCGAGCAGGCCGTCGGCGGCACGCCTAAGTGCGGCTTCGGCCGTGTCAGCATCCATTTTCTTTGTTGTTTTTGTCAAAAACCTAATTATTTGTTGTGTGGATCAGGGGGTGCGGTGGAACGCCAAGGTGCGGGTTCGACCTTGCCATCCACCTGCGGCCTCCTTCATCTCCGGTCTTCTTGACTCTGTCTTGACATCGGACTCAGGTGGGGGGGAAGGAGAGATTGTGATAGATGCGGAGCAAGTCTACCGGCACTACAAACCCCGCTGAAGTCACCGTGTCAACTACCACCCTGATGCGGTGCCTACGGTGGACATCGTCGGGTGTGACGGTCGAACTGTCATGTGTGTGTGTGTGTGTCCAACTCTCACCTGTGGCTCCACGTAGCTGGGCTCTGCTCAGCGGCCACACCCCGGGCAACCGCCTCGACCGGCGGGCTAAACCAGGTGAGGGCGCTGTGCGCTTGTGCCGCGTGCACAGTGTACTGCGGGCTCCGCTGGACGTTTGGTCGGATGAAACGTTGCGCCGGCGTCGTCGAGACGAGGCTCTGCCTGGTACGCCGTTGGACAGCTGCTGCCGGGATGGGTCCCCGCATCGCCTTCGCTGAGACGCGCCCACCTACGCCGACGGAGACCGCAGACCTCGGCATATGCGGTCGTTCTCCACTACAAACATAAAGTCGTGGTCCCATAGTGGGATTCGGTCGCGCCAAACAGGCACACAGGCAGCCCGAATCGGGGGGCACTGGCTGTCCCCATTACGGGGAAGGGCCTAGAAAAGGTGGCCTAAACATTGCTGGGCACCACGCCGTCTCCAGGCTAGCCAGGGCCGCAGACGTCTAAACATGGTCGAAACACTCAAAACCGAAACAACAACAATACCAATAATAACAACAACAACCATACTCATTCTCCTCATCCTACCTCTTCTTCCTCTACCTCCGTCTATTCTTCTGCCTATTCTTCTCCTTCGTCATCTTCTTCTCCACCTCCTTCCCGTCGCCCCACTCGTTTTCCCCAGACTGACAGGGTGAGCCCGCTCACACTGGCAGCCTGGAA